TAGGGGAGAGGGGGTGGGGAGGGATCAGAGAGGCACAAAGCGAAGGGGGAAGGACACGCGTGTGGCTCCCACCCGGGGGTGAGTGGGCGCGACTGGCGCCCTCCAGCCCTGTGGGTCGGAGGACCCGGAGGATTCGGAACCGGGAGGTGGAGGAGGAGGAAAAGCAGGAGAAGACGGAGGAAGAGGCGGGCAGGCGCGCGGACTAGCAGGCGGGCGGGTGCGCAGCGCGGAGAGGCAGCCTCGGAGCTGCCCCGCTGGGCGGCAGGTGAGTTCTTGGCCCAAGCGTCCCACGTCCCCTCCCTGTCCCCTCGTGCTCTCTGCTCCTGTGCAAGCCCCCAGCGCGTGTGAGAGGCGCCAGGTTGGCGCGTCCCAACTTGGTTCGGGCAGCCGCGTTCCTCCTTCCCCCGCCGGCGTCCCCAGGCCTGGGACTCCGGTCTTGGGGGTCGGGTCCCCGCGCCCACCCCGCTCCAACTTTGCAGGGACCCGCGTCCGCCTCCAGCCTCGAGCTCAGCTCCAAGCTGCGCGCTGGCGGTAATGGCGGAACCTTTTGGCACCGCTTGCTACTCCCAGTGGGCAGCCCGCTGCTGGGGGACACCAGTCCCCGGGGACCGGTGCACCTGCCCATCCTCAACTCGCAGCTTTCCTCCGTGCCCAGCTTTCCTGAGGTATGGCACCTGCGAGCCCGCGGTAACAGTGGACTCCTTCGCATTGCTAGCCGCCCTTGGCGGGGGGGCCCGAGGCTGGGCGGCTCTGCTCCTGGGAAGGTTGCTCCTGCCTGGCTTCCAACTTTGTAAGGATCCTCATTGCGCTCCTGTCATAATGGAGGGCCGCCTGCACCTCTCACTACTCATGTCCGATGGAATTGGGGTGCGAGAGCGCTGGTTCCCAGAACCTAGGAAAGTTGTGCCTCCCGCTAGGAAGAGGCTCTAAGGCTCCCGGAGAGTCCCTCTGATGGGCTCGGGGCGCGCGCTTCGCTGCGATTCGGAATTAGTGCACTGCGCGCGGTATGTTTGCTTCCAGGTGACCAAGGGTTGGAGCAAGGTCCCCGCGAGATCCAACTTCCAGGGCCACCTGAAGGGCCCTTGGGCCCGAGGGGCCAAACCAGGCTCTCTGGACTGCGCCTTAGAGATCGCGAAAGCCTTGTCCCCACGCCCAGGCCACTGTGGCAGGTGCGCTGGTGGTTCTCAGGGCACCGGGACCTCGCTGCCTGGGGCGTGCGCAGAGAAGCAGGCAGTAGAACGAGGGCAGAAAATGTCCGAGGGACACCCCTGCGTTCTAACCCTAGATTTACTCTTTATTTGCTGTGTGGCCTTAGGTAAGCCCCTTCACCTTTCTAAGCCGGAGTTCTCTCGTCTGTAAAATGGTACCTTTCTCATGGTAAAAAATCGTGAATGTGAAGCCTAGGGCAAGCACTCAATTCGCAGGAAACATTGCTGGTATTTTATTTACTATTTTAATGCTGCGGGGCCGGATCTGAGTGATTGGGTCGTTGGGGGTTTCCAGAAACTGTGACGGCCCGCCCCCCCCCCAGAGTCCTCTGGCTGTGGTAGGTTGTGCTCCCTTCAGTGGGACCCAAGTAGTCTTGAAGAAACCATATGTAAGTCCTTCCTGCAGACAAGCCCCTTGTAGCCGCCCAGCTCAAGCTCAGTCCCCAGAAAAACGGAACTGCACTAGCAACAATGCAGGAAGGGCCCCTAGGGTGTCCCTGGGCAGAGGTGGAGAGCTGGCCAGCGCATGCAGGGTTCATCACCTGGCCCAGGACCTTGGGAGAGGGAACGAAGGGGCTACCCATTCAGGCCAGGCCCCAGGCGAATGAAGGAAAACCTTCCCCTTGGGTAAACATTGCGGCTTCACAAAGACACAAGGGAATATGGATTCTCGCCGTTGTTATTTTGAACTTAAGGTAAACCGGAGAAGGAGCCTCTTGTGCCCCAGGCTGCGGGGGCGGCATCCATCCTCTGCCTCAGGCATCTCGGCAGACAGACGCGAGAAGCCTTGGCAGGTCTCGGAGGGGGACATTCTGACCCACCATGTCTACCACCGCCACCCCAGTTCTTTCCGCCAGCCTGATTCCAAGCCCTGAAGGGCACGTGGCTTCGTGCCATCCCCAGGACACCGTCTCACACAAGGTGTTCCTGGAATCCCCCCAGGTCACCAGCACAGCAATCCGAATCCCATTTTGCAGAGATGGAAATTGAGTAGGGCAAGCCAAGCGACTTGCCCATAGTCACCTAGCTAGTAAGCAGCACAGCTGGAGACCTCAGTCCCAGCTTTTGACTTCTTAATTTGGCTTTTTTTTTTTTTTTGGTACATCTCTGGGCTCATAAGCAGTCTAACATGTGCTCCTACCAGAGTACCCACAGCCTCATTTCCTGATATGTCTGCTTGGACAGAGGCTACCCCGAAACTCAGGAGCACGACTGCATCTCCAGAAATTCGGATTTCCCCAAAGTCCCACACCATGTACGGACAGAGCAAGCCACACGGTAATGGGATCTGGCAAAGCTCTCTGCTTGGGGCTAAGCTTAACTTACTCCATGGCTGTGTGACCTCTGGCTGGTCACTTAACCTCTCTGAACTTCAGTTCCATTATCTACAAAATGAGAACAATAATTCCGATGAGGGGTTGTTTTGAACATTTGTGAAAATGTATGTGTAAGTTCTGGAAACGATAGTTTTATGCCAAGATTGGTGATCGGACAAGAAGGGGAACCCCAGAGGGAGGTCTTCTGTAGCAACCATTTGGGGCCAATACTGTAGATGTGGTTTCCACACTAGCTTGCCCTTTGCTCTTCCTGCTTTTTCTTCAATCCCTCCCCCCTAAATGGCCAGAGCCACCCCTCCACCCCAGTTTCAGTCTTCCATGGGGAAGGAAGGACCACACCAGGAAGGGTGAGAAGCTGGGAGTGGTCTAGCGGGGTAGGCTGCTTTCCGAGGGTCTCTGGAGCCAAGCTGCAAAGAGCTGTCCAAGGTACCACCCAGACGGCTGTCCAAAACCTCCCCGTTGTGGGGATGCTGCTTCCCAAGGATATAGGAAGAATTGGGGGGTCAGTTCACCTGGGGATTATGAGTACACACAGGTTTGACTGTGCTGCCTTCTTAGGTGTATGTTTTGAGTTGCCTTATGACAAGACTCAGTGTGTTGCCTGTCACTCGGTTTCTGTGGGTCTGTGCATGGTTTGGTGAGCCTTGGAACATGGTTGAGAGGCACTGGCAACAGTCTGCACCCGTTAGAACGGAGGCTTTTTCCTATTAGAAATCGGATTGTGCAGAAGTGGAATTTGATATTCCAGGACAGAAGAAAGGGACATGCTTCCCACCATGGGCCAGTGTGGGTTTGTATGGTTAACAAGTGAAAGGCTGCAACATGACCATTTTCCTTATTCTAATGTATGATAGCATTTAGACATCATCTAATCTAGCAAATGCCAAACATCAGCCTGTAGATCATCAGCATCAGAATCCACCAAGGCACTGGTTAAAGGCAGAGTGATCCCCACAACACACACACGCGCACACACACACACACACACACACACACACACACACAGATCTAAAACAGCATCCCCAAGCGAGATTGAAATTCTGTATTTTTTTTTATACCTATAGCACCTGGTCTTCCTAGGTGGTCTCCCATCTAAGTACTAACCAGGCCCGACCTTGCTTAGCTTCCAAGGTCAGATGAGATCGGGCATGTTCAGGGTGACATGGCCATAGACGAAGTTCTGTATTTATAACGAGACATTTCCAAGAGATTCTACCACCTTCAGCTCTTGTCCATCACCTGCATTTTACAGATGGAGAAACTGAAGCCCAGAAAAGGTATGTGACTTGCTGAAGGTCACACAGCTATATCGACAAAGCTGGAATAGAGTCTTAGTCTTGACTCTTTGCCCAGTGCTCATATATGATAATGCCACATTTACTTCAGTATAGAGAAACCCTATGGATTCTGAACTTAAAGGAAATTTAATTCTGTCTTTTTCCTGGTTGTTGTCATAGATTGGACAAACTGTTCAGAGAGACTGCACGTGATTCCTCCCACCTTGACCTTGGTGCACATAAGCTCTGAGACCCCATCTAATGTTGGGAATTGGCCCAAACGGTTGACCTGTCTGTCCTTTCAGAGAGGAAATTCCTTTAAAAAGTGACATATCAGGTATAACTGTAGGAACCGAGTAATCATAGGAGCTAATAAACCCTGTCTAACTACAATGGGTTTCACCAAAGCCATTGGTTGCAGTTCATTTGGACAGCTGAGTTGGGTCCCCACCCAACCTTTGCAAGTCCTGCGTATGTTTTTGTCACAGGCCTTTCGTAGGGAAGGAGATCTATGAGCAGCATCCTGCAATGCTGAAAAGTTGAGTCCACTTGACTGTATTAAATGAAAATGATCTGTCAACAGAAAATGCCCCGAGGTCTCCAATAAAAGCATAGCTAACAGGGTATAGCGGGCAGTGGATCTTGGCATAGCCGTATTTAGTGATAATAAGCCAGAGAGCCAAGCAGCAGATATGTGTGGTTCTGCGGCAGACGTCAGCGCATTCGTCCAATGTGTAATGATGAGTGTAAAAGGGCAGGCCCAGTGCCAGGCCCCAAGGGCAGGTACCAGATTAAGGTGGTGTGAGCCCCGCACTGACAAAGCCTGTGGTCTGGTCAAGCAATGGCCACCGAACAAGCTCTGTGCCAGGCGTGAAATTCCTGCACGAGAGGTAGAAGTAAATGCTGCTCAGCACCCAGGATGGGTGGCTGGGGGTATCAGGGAAGACTTCTCAGAGGAAACGGCAACGGGGCTGGTAGCCTTCTGATTTGTAGCCCCGTCTCAGTGACAGAGTCTCCGGTGCTGAATTTGGTCAAGTGCAGCCCGGTCAAAAGACAGAGCGT